GGGTGGGGACACAGAGCCAAACCATATCATTCCACCCCGGCCGCTCCCAAATCTTATGTCTTCACATTTCAAAACCAATCATGTCTTCCCAACAGCCCCCCAAAGTCTTATTTCAGCATTAACTCAGAAGTCCACAGTCCAAAATCTCATCTGAGTCAAGGCAAGTCCCTTGCACCTATGAGCCTGTAAAAGTAAAAGCAAGTTAGTTACTTCCTAGATACGGTGAGGGGTACAGGTGTTGGGTAAATATAGCCATTCCAAATGGGACAAATTGGCCAAAACAAAGGGGCTACAGGCTCCATGCAAGTCCAAAATCCAGCAGGGCAGTCAAATCTTAAAGCTCCAAAATGATCTCCTTTAACTCCATGTCTCATATCCAGGTCACGCTGATGTAAGAGGTGGGTTCCCATGGTCTTGGGCGGCTCCGCTCCTGTGGCTTTGCAGGGTACAGCCTCCCTCCTGGCTGCTTTCACCGGCTGACGTTGAGTGTCTGTGACTTTCCAGGCACACAGTGCAAGCTGTCCGTGGATCCATCACTCTGGGGTCTGGAGGACAGTGGCCCTCTTCTCACAGCTCCACTGAGTGGTGCCCCAGTAGGGAGTCTGTTTTGGGTCTCCCACCCCACATTTCCCTTCTGCACTGCCCTAGCAGAGGTTCTCCATGAGAGCCCCACCCCTGCAGCAAACTTCTGCTTGGGCATCCAGGCGTTTCCATACATCCTCTGAAATCTAGGTGGAGTTTCCCAAACCCCAATTTTTGACTTCTGTGCACTGCAGGTTCAACACCATGTGGAAGCTGCCAAGGCTCGGGTCTAGCATCCTTTGAAGCCATGGCCTGAGCTGTACCTTGGCCCCTTTCAGCCATGGCTGGAGCAGCTGGGATGCAGAGCACCAAGTCCCTAGGCTGCATGCAGCATAGGGACCCTGGACCTGGCCCGTGAAACTACTTTTTCCTCCTGGGCCTCCAGTCCTGTGATGGGAGGGTCTGCCATGAAGACCTCTGAGATGCCCTGGAAACATTTACCCCATTGTCTTGGGGATTAACATTCACCTCCTCGTTACTTATGCACATTTCTGCAGCCAGCTTAAATTTGTCTCAGAAAAGGGGATTTTCTTTTCTATTGCATTTTCAGGCTGCAAATTTTCTGACTTTTATGCTCTGCTTCAAAACTGAAGGCCTTTAACAACATCCAGGTCATCTCCTGAATTCTTTGCTGCTTAGAAATTTCTTCTGCCAGATACCCTAAATCATCTCTCTCAAGTTCAAACTTCCACAAATCTCTATGGCAGGGGCAAAATGTCACCAGTCTCTTTGCTGAAACATAGCAAGAGTCACCTTTACTCCAGTTCCCAACAAGTTCCTCATCTCCATCTGAGACCATCTCAACCTGGATTTCATTGTTGCTATCAGTATTAGCATTTTGGGCAAAGCCATTCAACTAGTCTCTAGGAGTTCCAAACTTTTCCACATTTTCCTCTCCTGAGCCCTCCAAACTGTTCCAGCCTCTGTGTGTTACCCAGTTACAAAGTTACTTCTACATTTTTGGATATCTTTTCAGCAGTGCCCCACTTTATTGGTACCAATTTGCTGTATAAAGACATATCTGAGACTGGGCAATTTAAAAAAGAAAGAGGTTTAATGGACTTACAGTTCCATGTGACTGGGGAGGCCTCACAACTATGGCAGAAGATGAAAGGCATGTCTCACGTGGTGGCAGACAAAAGAATAAAAACTTGTTCAGGGAAACTCTCCTTTTTAAAACTATCAGATCTCGTCACATGTATTCACTATCACGAGAACAGCACAGGAAAGACCTGCCCCCATGAATCAATTACCTCCCACCGGATCGCTCCCACAACATGTGGGAATTCAAGATGAGATTTGGGTGGGGACACAGCCAAACCATATCACTGGCTCTGATAGTTAACTGGAGAAATGCTGTTTCAACTCTTAGACAAAGATTCCTGATATCTAAGCTGTTTTGAAGTATATAGCCTAAAATAGTGATACCATAATAGTTGGTTAATGAATGAATGTAGTGATCAAATTACGTTTACTAAATTAATCTTATGACACAAATATTATTTTTGAATCCCCTAATAAAACTAATACCTAAAACAAAAATTGTAGTTGATGCTTACTTTAGCCAATCTTTTAGTGTCCTTATCTGAAAAAGGGCATAATAATAGTGCCCACTTCGTTCAGTGGTTGTGAGGATAAAGTGCGATAACCCATGTAAATTTCTTACGGAGAAATTTACTACCCTGACTAATTAGTATATGAATCCTTTGTCCACTTGAGTGTAGAAAACAAGCTAAGTGATTGCACTTTAAATTAATGACCACAGACTTCAAGTGGGCCCTCGATGCCCACATTTCTCTAGTCTTTTCATGCTCCTCTCTCTTTTTTTTTTTTTTTTTTTTGAGACAAGGTGTTGTTTTGTCACCCAGGCCAGAGTGCAGCGGTACCATCATGGCTCACTGCAGCCTTGGCCTCCTAAGGGTCAATCGGTCCTCCCACCTCAGCTTCCTGAGGAGCTAGGACTGCAGGTGTGCACCACCACACCTGGCTAATTTTTGTATTATTTGTAGAGACAGGATTTCTCCACGTTGCTCAGGTTTGGTCTTGATCTCCTGAGCTCAAGCTATCTGCCTGCCTTGGCCTCAAAAGTGTTGAGATTACAGGTATGAGCCACCATACCCGGCCCATGCTCTTGTCTATTTGATGTCAGTTTTATAACTTTTGTCTCTTCACACCTCTAACACATTCTATTCTATCCTCACTCTCAATTGACGACCTTGCTTCTAAGTCACTGAGAAGATAATGGCTCTCACAAGTCCCCACCACATTTACTCACTGGCCATCATCTGTCTTCATGCATTGTCCTCCCCCTCCTCTCCTGTTAACTAGAGAGGAACTCCCCTTGCTCCTACAGAAAGCCAGCTCTTCTGTTTTCTCGCTCTGGCCACACCAGCAATTCTGCCCTCTCCTGCATCATCAAGTTCTCTCTCTCTATTGGAGTGTCCGACATGAATGCTGTAATGTACCCCATATGTAGTAAGTAGACTAAGGACCCCCAAAAGATATCCCTGTCCTAATTCCCAGAACCTGTGATTGTGTTAGGTCACACAGCAAAGGAGAATCAAGGGAGAAGATGGAATGAGGTTGCTAATGAACTGACCTTAAAATACAGAGATTATCCTGTATTATCTGGGTATACCCAGTGTGGCCACAAGAGGTCTTAAAATAAGCGGGAGGAAGAAGAGGGAAGCAGAAGAAGACTGTTAGAGACAGATGTGACTGTGGAAGAAGGGTCAAAGAGATACAATGTTGCTGGCCTTAAAGATGGAAGAAGGGGTCGAGAGCCAGGGAATGCAGGAAGCCTCTAGAAGCTGAAACAGGCAAGGAAACTGATTCTCCCCTAGAGCCTCTGGAAAGGAACACAGTCTCCCTGACAGCTTAATTTTAGTCTGGTGAGACCCACATTGGACTTCCAACCTACAAGATTGTAAGATGACTAAGTTGTGGTGTTTTAAGCCACTAAATGTGTGGTAATTTGTTACAGCATCAATAGAAAATGAATCTACCATATCATAAACAACAACAAAAACTCTCTTCAGCTATTGTCCTATTTTCTTGCTCCCTTATAGAAAGCTCTTTAAATGAGTCACCTGTATTCACTGGTTCTCAATGCCCACCCCCACCCCCCACCAATTTAGTAAAATGTACATGACATGACATTTCCCATCTTAACCTTGTTTATTGTATAGCTTAGTGCAGCCCCCTGCCTCCCACCTCCCCCAGGACCCAGGGAGTGAGCTTTGTCTGTATTTACAGCTGCTCCCCATCGCTCGCATTACTGTGTGAGCTCCGCCTGCTGTCAGATCAGCAGTGGCTTTAGATTCTCTCAGGAGCATGAGCCCTATTGTGAACTGTGCATGTGAGGGATCTAGGTTGTGTGCTCATTATGAGAATCTAATGCCTGATAATCTATCACTGTCTCCCATAACCCCCAAGATGGGACCATCTAGTTGCAGGAAAGCAAGCTCAGGCTCCCACTGATTCTACATTATGGTGAGTTGTATATGTATTTCTTGATATATTACATTGTAATAATAATAGAAATAAGGTGCACTATAAATGTAATGAGTTGAATTATTCTGAAATCGTTGCCTCCCTGCCCCCCACTGCCACCACTGCCTCAGTCCCTGGAAATACCATCTTCCCCTAAACAGATCCCTGTTGCCAAAAAGGTTGGGGACTAAAAGCTTAGTGGATTAAATATATTTGTAATGTTGTGCATCACCACCATCCAGCTCCATAACTCCTTGCATTTTGTAAAACTGAAATTCTATGATCAATAAACAATAACTCCCCATTCCTCCCTTCCCCCTAGTAACCACCATTCTACTTTCTGTCTAGAATTCTGACCACTCTTAAGTATTTCATATAAGTTATGGAATTGTAGAGTTATTTGTCTTTTTGTGACTGGCTTATTTCACTTAGCATGTTATTGAGGTTCATCGATGTAACGTGTCAGAATGTCTTTCCTTTTTTCTTTTCTTTTTTTTCTTTCTTTCTTTTTTTTTTTTTTTGATACAGAGTCTTGCTCTGTTGCCCAGGCTGGAGTGCAGTGGTGTGATCTTGGCTCACTGCAAGCTCTGCCTCCTGGGTTCACACCATTCTCCTGCCTCAGCCTCCCGAGTAGCTGGGACTATAGGTGCCCGCCACCACTCCCGGCTAATTTTTTGTATTTTTAGTAGAGACTGGGTTTCACCTTGTTAGCCAGGATGGTCTCAATCTCCTGACCTCGTGATCTGCCCGCCTTGGCCTCCCACAGTGCTGGGATTACAGGCGTGAGCCACCGCACCCGGCCATGTCTTTCGTTTTTAAGGCTGAATGATATTCCATGGTATGTATACACCACATTTTCCTTATCTGTTCATTTGTTGACGGACACTTGGGTTGCTTCTACATTTTAGCTATTGTGAGTACTGCTGCTATGAACATGGGTGTACAAACCCAATTCTCTCTTTAGTTTAGTTTTTACTTTTTTCTTCCTCAGTGATCCTTTTCTGAGCAATTCCCTCTTGAATCTGCTATAAGAAATCTTTTTTTTTCTGACCACTCCATCAAATGTATGCTCATCAAAGTCACCAGTGACTTCTACATCCTCATAGTCAATTGTCACTTCTCAAATAGTATTAGAAAAGGTGATCACTCCCTCACGTTTGAAATACCTTCTTCTCTGGCTTCCAGGATGCCACACTGTCCTGGTTTCAGCCTTCATTTGTGGTTACTCTTCAATCTTCTTTGCCAATTCCTCCTAATTTCGCTAATCACACGGAGTAGCCCAGGATTCAGTTCTTGGATCTCTTCTCTTTTCTGTCAACCGTCCTTCTGAGCTTACCTCATCCACTCTCATAGCTTTAAATACCACTTATACACCGATCACCAAGTGTGTATCTCCAGCCAAGACCTCTGACCTCCACTCCAGACTTACATATCTAACCTCTCACTTGACAGCTCCATGAGGATGTCTGTTGGGCATCCAAACCTTCACACTCCGAAACTGATTTAATTTTACCTCCAAAACCTGCTCGTCCTGTTTGTCTTCTTCATCCTTTAAGTTGCTCAGGCCGAAAACCTTTGACTCACCTTTTCCACCTCTTTTACTTTCCTGCCCCTCACTCAACCTTTCAGTCAATTCTGGTAGGGTTTTCTGTTTTCTTCGTTTATAGAAGTATCTCCATGGCCTAAAACCATAATTAGCACAAGCCTATTAGCGAAGTCCTTCAAAATACGTCCAGAATTTGATTAAGTCTCGCCACTTCTACTGCTACTATCCCAGTGCAAGTCATTTTCATCTCAAGCCTGGATTTTTGTTATAGCCTCCTAAAGAGGTCTAAGTAGTTTTCTTACTTCCTTTTCTTCCTGTAGTCTGTTCTCCACATAGCAGACGGAGTAATCCTTTAAATATAAACTAGAGCACATCATTGTTCTTCCTGACACCCTCCATGGTGAAGTGTCCTACTACCTCTACTTATGTCACCTCACTGAGTGAAGTGTCTTACTTCACTTAGAGTAAAAGCCCAACGCTTTACCATGGCCCGCAAGGCCCAGTAACTCAGGTTCTGGGAACTTCCCCACCCTCATCTACTTCCTGCCCTCCCAGTCTGCTCAGCTATATTGACATCCTGAATGCTTCTTGAACTAGTCAGGTAACTTTCCACCTCAAGACCTTTGCATTGGATATTCCTGATTTCAATGCTCTTTCTTCAGATTCTTCACTACTCATGCCCTCAACTCGTTCGCATCTTCAAGCAGATATCACCATCTCAGTAAAGCCTTCTCTGGTCATTCCATTTAAGTCTCCATCACCCAGCTTCCACCCGCAGCGTTCCCCTCTCTCGGCTTATTTTTTCCGTTGTACTTATTACTTCCAACACACCAGACACTTTACTGATTTTGTTTACTATCTATCTCCCCTACTAAGTTCTATGAAGAAGATATTTTGGCATGATTTGTTTACTAAAGTATCCCAAGGCCCAGAAAAGTAGTTGGCACATTATAGGCACTCAGTGTATAAAGGTGCATATTTGAATGAATGAATCGCTGGAAGGCAGAATACAAAGGGAAAATGTAGAATCATGAGGCCAACAGGGGAAGCGGGACCGTGTCCTGAGTGACTTCTAAGCCATGTTTCTAAAGGTCAGTAGGATGCCACTGATACGTCGTAAGTATGGGATTAGTATGTTCAGAATCATATTATTTAAAAATCACTCTAGTAATAGTATGGAGGATCAGCAGAGGGTAAGTCTAGGAGAAGCTCAGGATTTCTGACAGATGGTAAGGCCACTGACTGAAGTAAGGAGGAGAAATAGTTTGGAAGGCAGAGTGTGGTAATGGTAGGAAATGACAATTATCATTTGGGACATTTTGAGGTAGTGGATTAGAAGACAGTACTGAGGCCTTAACCGAAACACAGTAAAAAGAGACAAAAAGAAAAAAAATGTAGAAGTGCTATCAGGAATCATGGAGGATGTATTGAGATGACATGGTATATATTTGTGGATAGGAAAGCCAGAACAAGATAAAGTGAGAATGATGGAAAAACAATATTAAAAATATGTCGGGCCAGGCACAGTGGCTTACACCTGTAATCCCAGCACTTTGGGAGGCTGAGGAGGGAGAATTGCTTGAGGCCAGGAGCTTGAGACCAGCCTGGGCAACCCAGCATGACACCCCCGTCTCTTAAAAAAAAAAAAAATTAAAAGAGATACTGACAGAGTTTTCTGAAACTGAAAGACAGTCAAAATTTTTCATTCACATGGAGAGTGTACGTTGAATATCAAGCAGAAAAAATAAAATATATAAAATCTATAGTAAGTTCTATCACAATGAAGCTGCAGAACATGCAGGGTAAAAGGGAAATGGTAAAAGCTGCCAGAAAAAAGGGAGTGTCTACAATGGGACAATAATTAGGCTGGCAGTGTGCTTTCCTGTAGCAACCATGCAGGCTGAAGGTGGGGCAGCAATAGCTTCAAAATGCTGCGAGAAGCGCCGCCCACTCCTTACTGTGTGTGGACTGGGTGTGGCACACTGGCAACTCTCCCTGAACGACTCTGGATGCTGGTCTCCCTAGAATCTCTTGGGTCTAAAGATTGATCTTCTTACCTCCTATAATTCCTGAGGTGGATAACTAACTAGGGGGTCACAAAATTAATTCCACAATCTTGTAGCATGTCCTGAATAGATGTTCTGACAATGAACGTTTTTCCAGCTTTTGGGACATCTCCCACAATTCTAAAATAACAGGAATGTCATGCTGAACATCCTAGTACAGTGAACAATGTTACATAATTTGGGATTTTCCTCTGCTGTTTCATGTATGTTTGACTTGCTTCCCAAACTGGCTTGTAAACACATATTACTTTTACATTAGCTAAGTAGAAATTTTTCAATGTATACTTTTAACAATGATAATAAACATTATATTCTTCTTCTTTATTGAGCACGTCCTATGAGCCAAGCTCTCTGCAAAGTGTTTTATTCACATTATCTCTCATTAACATTAGCTGCAAGGTAATGACTGTCACCTCCATTTTACAGATGAGTGAGCTGAAGCTTAGCGAGATCAGTGACCTGTCCGGGATCAGATTCTGGGTAAGAGGAAAAGGCAGGAATATGACACATGTCTGTTATAACTTCAAAGCCTGACCTTTCAGCCTCTATGCTATATTAATCGGTGAAACATAGTAACTATTGATAAGAATGACTGTGTTAATCATTTGGAGTGGGAATATTTACTTGGAATGTTGACTTTTTTGTTGTTGTTCTTCCCAGAAAAAGTGTCTCTATGGTCTCTTGCAGAATTTCCAGCAAGGCCCAATTCCACGGAAATCAGTGCCTCTACTTTCCCAGCCGCCTGTAGATGTATTATGACTTTTGATTGAGTTCTTCTTTCCTCTGGAGAAGGAACGGTAGATGCATCTGTGGACAGTTTCCCTTCATATGACTTGTCAGCATTGAACACATAACCCCTCTTTTTGCATTACCTCGCAGAGTGTGCAGGGCTTTACCAGGGTCTATTCTTCAGTGTCCTGCCATGTGCTACACAGTTCATTATTTGCTTGAGGAAGAAGGGTAAGCCCTGATAGTAAGGGGGTAAGGGGACATGCTTCCCAAGAGTCACTTACTCTGTTTGTACTCTCAGTACCTTGCAGAGTGCTAGCCAAGTCATGTGTGCTTAGTAAAACCTCAGTTAAATCTATAAACTTTAAGAACTTTGGAACAAAAGTAGTAGAAAAAGTAAGGGAGTTTTAGCAAGTGGATAAATGGCAAAAGTAATCCTGTGTTGAAACTCTACCAGATGAATGTTGTTACCAAACTTCCGTATGGTCCGCTAGGTCCAGAAAGACATTTTTGTGGTACGTAGGTAATAGAAGTGGCCAGATTAGCCATAGACAGATCTTGTTTAGCTATAAAGGCACAATAAAAACTATTGTCCAAGGCAGGGGAGAACAATGCATAAAATCTTTAATATATCTATACTAGTTCTTACAGTAATTCTTTCTTTCTATTTTATGCCCTTTCCATTATAAAATGCTCATTAGGGTCCATGCCTTAGCATGACTTTAAAACACTACAAAGTAACAAAATTTCAAACCTCCAGATCAGATGATGCTATGTTTAAAAACAGGAAAATTGGCCAAGGAATGAAAAATATTAATAGAAATAAATTTAAAACTACAGTGCTCACCACATGATTTTCCAATGGTGACAGATATTATTTATGAAATACAGCTGGAAAATAGATTATTAAAACTGAAAAATATAAACATATAATTAATTTCACATAGCATATATCACAATTAATTGCAGGTGAATTATAGGTAAGCATAGAACATAAAGCATAATACGTTGAATAGAATTGTGTAAGTGTCCTTGTTGGGAAGAAGAATAAATATTTTTAAAAATGGCTTTAACTAAGGTATTATTAGAACACAATAAACTACACATATTTAAACTGTACCCAGTGACAAACTTTAATATATGTATACACTTGTGAAACCATCATCACAATCAAGATAATAACACACCCATCACCCCAGAGTGCTCTCAGGCTCCACTGTGTCCCATTGCTCCCAACTCTTCCCACCTGTTCCCTCCCCCAGACCCACACAACCACTGATCTGCTTTCTGTTACTATCGTTTGCATGAATGTAAGTTTTTGACTGGTGAAGTGGTTATTGATTATATGATGGATGGTTCTACTTTGTTTTTTGTTTTTGTTTTTTCCCCGAGATGGAGTCTCACTCTGTTGCCCAGGCTGGAGTACAATGGCGCCATCTCGGCTCATTGCAAGCTCCGCCTCCAAGATTCAAGCAATTCTTGTGCCTCAGCCTCTCAAGCAGCTGGAATTACAGGAGCGTGCCACAACCCCCAGCTAATTTTTGTATTTTTAGTTGAGACGAGGTTTCGCCATATTGGCCAGGCTGGTCTCGAACTCCTGACCTCAGGTGATCCTCCCGCCTTGGCCTCCCAAAGTGCTGGGATTACAGATGTGAGTCGCTGCTCCTGGCCAGGTTCTACTTTTAAAAAGCCAAAATGTAATGAAAAAAAGCAAGGAAAGAACTGAAATGGAAACTTTTTGTGATAAATGACAAGTAAAAGCCTTAATATCCACACTAGCAAACATTTAATAGAAAGAATATTTTATTTTGGTTTATTTGATTGCAAAGAACAGGGACAGTCCAGTGGTTCATGCCTGTAATCCCAGCACTTTCGGAGGCCGAGGCTAGTGGATCGTGAGGTCAAGAGATCGAGACCATCTGGCCAACATGGTGAAACCCCGTCTCTACTAAAAATACAAAAATTAGCTGGGCGTGGTGGCACACTCCTGTAGTCCCTGCTACTGGGGAGGCTGAGGCAGGAGAATCGCTTGAACCCAGGAGGCAGAGGTTGCAGTGAGCCGAGATTGTGCCATTGCACTCCAGCCTGGGCAACAAGAGCGAAATTCCATCTAAAAAAGAAAACAACAAAAAAAGGATGCATATTTTAGGAATACACATGACTGGATTACTGCTGAAAACAGAGGTAACTTGAAGGCTTGGCTCTTCAGGTTTTCTCTCAAGGGTCTCATGGGCCAAATGTTTGTTCTCCAATTGCACCTCTGCTTCTTTAAGCCCATCTGTTTTGTTTGCCCCCTACCACCTATCTTTCTCCGCTAACTTTAATTTGCAGTCCCTCATAATTTCAGCATGCCGTGGCTCATCTGATTCCAAATACACCCGTGGCATACCTTGATTCAGCCTCTTTGACTTTCGTTCCTTCTATTAAGTGTATTGACACTCAGTCTTTTCAAATTCAAGTTCTCACGGGAGGAGTGTGATTGGCTTGGCTCGCCTTTTTGGCCCAGGCCATTCACTGTTACCTTTGGATCTGAAATGACCCATCACCTAGGATCAAAAAGTAGGGTCACCTGGTTCTAAACATCAGTAGGGCAGCTTTCCTCAGGAAGGGGTATGAGTAGTGCAGGCATTGAGTGCTTTTCTGTCTAGCAAAGAGAATGGTGCTTGAGAGACAGCTGGAACTGGATTCAAATCCCAGCTCTATTATTTAGTAGCCGTGTCACTTTGGGGTACTTGCCTAACCTCTCTGAGCCTTAGGTTTTTTGTACTGGTGGAAGGTGTCCAAGTTCTTGGCATTGTGAACAAAGAATTGGACAAAATGCACAAAGCAAGGAAAGAATGAAGCAACAAAAGCAGAGATTTATTGAAAGTGAAAGTATACTCCATACGGTGGGAGCAGCCCAAGCAAGCAACTCAAGAGGCAAGTTACAGAATTTTCTGGGGTTTAAATACCCTCTAGAGGTTCCCCATTGGTTACTTGGTGTACAGGTGTACCCCCTATGTAAAGGAAGTACTGGCCTGGAATCAGTCTGATTGATTGCAGGAGGGGGCCAATCAGAGTCTGAAGCAAAGTTACAAAGTTACACCCTATGCAAAGGTCTGATTGGTTGCAGAAAGTGACCAATCAGAGGCTGAAATGAAGTTACAAAGTTATAGTACTATGCAAATGAAAACTTGGCCGGCAACCAGCCTGATTGTCTCCCAGAGGGGACAAATCAGAGGCACTTTCAATTTTTCATCTGCCACTCAGAAAATGGGAGGTTGCAAAGGGATTAGCCTCTGGTCCTTTTCTTACCTGGGCATGGAAAGTTGGGGTTTTCTTTGTGATTGAGTTCTAGGAAGTCAGCATGAATTCGGCCTTAGGTTCCCTGCCTCCAGACCCTGTTCTCCTGCCTCATTTTCATTTTAACTTGGGAATAATAACTGCCTTGAAGAAATTTTGTAACAAATATATAAAATAATACCTGTAAAGCTCTGGTATAGTATCTAGCACACAATAGGTCTCAATAATGATAGCTATTTTATTATCACATTAACAGATTAATAATGATCTCAGGAAAAAGATACCTCACACAAGAGGGAAGCCAAATAGTGGGATAACATTTAAGGACATGGTCAGCCTCACAATTTTTTAAACGCATTTGAGAATATTTTTTTTTTTTTTTTTTTTTTTTTTTTGAGACGGAGTTTCACTCTTGTTGCCCAGGATGGAGTGCAATGGTGCAATCTCGGCTCACCACAACCTCCGCCTCCTGGGTTGATTCTCCATTCTCCTGCCTCAGCGTCCTGAGTAGCTGGGATTACAGGTATGTGCCACCATGCCCGGCTAATTTTGTACTTTTAATGGAGACAGGTTTTCTCCATGTTGGTCAGGCTGATCTTGAACTCTCAACCTCAGGTGATCCACCTGCCTTGACCTCCCAAAGTGCTGGGATTACAGGTGTGAGCCACCGCACCCGGCCACATCTCACTTCTGTTAAACTTGCTAAAATAAACTAAAATTAACCATTCCAATATTGATGGGACAATGAGGAAACAGTACATTCATATTTGGTTGATGGCATTATACATTAGCCTAATTATTCCAAATAGCAATCTCATAAAACATACCCTCCAATTCATAGTACCTTCTGGGCAAATACTTCCCAAGGAGGTAGTTAAAAAGGAATACTTCTATTTGTACAAAATATTTATAGCTTTCTTTTTAATTCAGGCTTTCATCCTTTTTGAACTGAAAGAGACCTAAGAAGTTATTTTTTTTTCTCTTGGGTTGCATGTTAGAATCATTTCGGAGCTTTCAAAAATCACTGATGTTCATGTCTCATGCCAGAAATATGGAGTTAATAGTCCTAGAATATGGCCTAGGCCTGAGTACGGTTTAAAAGCTCCTCAGGTGATACGAATGTACAGCCAGGAAGGAAAACCACTCTTCCAATCCCACTCTATTAGGGGATCTATGAATAAACAAGAGCCAGAGAGGCTGAAAGCCCTCTCAAAAGAAGTCACAGAGAGGTGATAAAAGAGCTGGATTGAACTAAAGATGCTCCAAGTGCCTGCTTCCAGCTTCTAGTCCTGGTGAATGACTGGAAATTTCCAGGTGCTCAACACTTAGAGACCAGGTAACAAATTATAGCAGAGCAATACAACACATTCATTCATTGTTATTGAAAGGACAACTGTGGACAGGGTAGGACATTGGTGAGAACCAAGTGTGATACTGGTGTCTCCATTACTGCCCCTCATAGAGAGACAGCAACTGTTCCTAGCTGAAAGGGTTGAATCCTCGTGGGTGCCCTTATCTCCTCCTCCAACATCTCTGTTGTGGAGGGTGAGGTTATCAGTGTCCAGGACTGCTGAATGATGGGCTGTCTGTGCTGAGCAGTGATGAACTAGCAAGAGTTCATTTTTAAAAACTGTGATGAAGTATGTATAGCATAAAATTTACCGCTTTAACCATTTGTAAGTATACAGTTTCTCTGGCATTAAGTACATTCACATTGTTTTGCATCCATCACCACTACCCATCTCCAGAACTTTTTCATCATCCCCAGCTGAAACTTCATACCCATTAAACATTAACTCCTAATTCCTCCCACCCTGCCACCTCAGACCCTGGTTGCTATTACTCCACTTCCTCTCTCTATAAATTCGACTATCGCAGGTACCTCATATAAGTGGGATCATGCAGTATCTGTTCTTTGTGTCTGGCTTATTTCACTTAGCATAGCGTCTCCAAGTTTAAAAGGCCATTTAAAAAAATAAATTATCCTCTTTCTCTCTGCTCCCCTGTTCTTTCCACCAAATGTCCTTTTCCTTCCAGGTTGAGGACCACCTATCCCTTCTATCAATCCTGGCTTACCCATTCTAGTGTACTCTGCCTTTTTCCTCTTCCTTTAAAGCTTAGTGTTATCTAGTGAGCAAGATAGGAAACGCTAGCTCTGCAAGCTCGTATGTGAGACTGCAAAGTCTGAAGGGTGGTTTTGTTTTGTTCTTGCATCTTCATTTCTGCTTCAGTGTGGACTGAGGGAAGAAAAGAGACTGTTGGGGAATGAGAGAGAAAGAGGAAAACAGAATATAATCACATTTATACTTGGAAATGTAGACCTGTCTCACATGAAAAAATGGTATCTACATTATTTTAGAAATTGTAGAAGTAGAATTTCATCAGAAATGCTTTGTTTTTATTTATGAGGAAATGTTGCACACTGTTAAGCATATTAACTCTGGATCTGAATTATCTGAATTTGAATCCTAGCTCTAATACTTTTTAGTTGTGTGTTCTAGAGCAAATAACTGAATTTCTCTATACTTTAGTTTTTGTTTTGCTTTTTTTTGTATTGTCTCACTCTGTCGCCCAGGCTGGAGGACAGTGGCATGATCATAGCTCACTGCAGCCTCGACCTCCTGGGCTCAAGCAATTGTCTTGCCTCAGCCTCTTAAGTAGCTGGGACTACAGGCACATGCAATCACACCCAGCTAATTTTTTGTATTTCTTGTAGAGATGGAGTTTTGCCATGTTGCCCAGGCTGGTCTTAAACTCCTAAGCTCAAGCAATTAGCCTACCTTG